TTTGTGCACAATGAAACACAGACAAGCCCCTGCCCTTTTCCTGTATCCAAATAAACAGTTCAAAAAGGGTTATTTGGCAGGAACACCACCCCATGTGCGTGTGTGTGTGTGTGTGTGTGCGTGTGCCGGTGCACGTGTGCGTTACGTAAGCCTGATTGCGGCCCTCGGCCCCCTCCATTAGACCTGCTGCTTGGCTCCGGCTTCCTCTGGTTCCAGTTCATTGGCCCGCAGGCCCGTACCAGACATGGGAATCGGATGTGTCACTCTGTATGTGCGTTTGTGTAGCAGCTCCTCCAGCTGTGCTGTTCACATACTCACACATTTCGTAAACACCCCCTTAAACAAGAGCCGCGCTTCTGTTTACTCCACACTTAAGCGCATGTAAGTAGTTCAGCCTTTTTGTTCTGTTCCTCCTCAGATGTGCTGCCTTCCACGTTTTGGCCTGGGCTCTGATGAGATATGAGGTTAACTAACCCCGATCAATTATTTTGTTGTTGTTTGGCCATCCAAATTCTTCCTGACTTCTTTTTCAATGAACCAACTTAGCAAAAAAATCAATATGTGCGTGTTTGTGAGTATTTTCTTGATATTTTGCTGCGAAATAACAGCAACATACATCCACCCATCCTCGATCAAAAGCATTATAATATGTTATATTTTTGTCTACTTTCAGGTTAAAAAGGGTCTAGATTATGTACAAATGGTTAATCTATGTGCTTGTTTGCGTGTTTAAGTCTACAGTTTTTGCTAACCTTTAGTTTTGACTACCATGCCATGCAGAATTTTTTCATTTGAAAGATGTTTGTGAACCCCCTTTTTGCCTCTCATTGCTGTATTTCTCAACAGGTTTGTTATCATGATGAGGATCATTAACTTGCTCACTGATCCGCTTCACAGTCAGCGTCATATTCTGTACAAATGGACCCGTATTGGCTCCACCTATTCTTTTATATCCTGTTTACAGGATTTGTGGCTGGAATTACTGAATGTAATAAGAACAAACACTTAAGAGAAGGATTCAAAAACATAGAAAACTTTTTTTGACATGATCTAAAAAATTAGTTGAATACTAAAAATGGCAAAGAGAAAAGGTCCTGCTAGTGGATGCAAAAAAGGACATCTGAATAAGTAGATTTTCATTTAGTTTATCTTGTCTTTTTTTGTGTCTTCCAGGTGACCTCTGCATGTGTCCCGGCTCCCTCCAACGATCTGGTCAGTCTCCTTCACTCACTTCTTTTCCTCAAGCGCTTTATAGTCAGACAGGCTTCCCCACTCCATCTGCCCATAGTATTACTCCTCTAAACCACGGACTGGTTTCTTCCACGCTGAATTCCTTCTGGGAAACCGAGCCCTCAGCTGGGCTGGAGCTCGGTTCATTCCTGGAGCGCTGCAGAGTTTCAGCTCGGAGGGAAAAAAAACAGTTGATGTTGGTGTAGGAAGTAGTGATGTTTATACATTAGGGAGTTTATTTGTTTTAATAACTCTCCTTTCCTTCCTTTATTTTGCCTCCTCTGCCCCCCCCCCTTCTTTTTTGCCGCCTCCCTTTGCCCTGCTTCCTCTTATCGTCTAATTTCACTGTCTCTGTTTCCCATTTGTCCCAACACCGCCTCTTCCATCCCATCCAGCAGCGTAGAGGGACCACTCCATCTCGACACATCCAACACATGGTGAGCACACTTTAACTTCCACGCACTCTCTCTTCATCCTCCCCATTTTCAGGCTTTCCCCCCCAAGAATATTTCCAGAGATGATGTGACTTTTATGGCTCCGAAGAAAAATATAAAAGGTTTAGAAAAGCAGTCGTTGCTATTCAGTGATATAAAGTGTGTGTAAAGTCAGGCCCTGTGAGGACTGTGAGTGCTTTTATCTGGCTTTTATCCAGAAACGTTTCTCGTTGTGGTATCTTAATAGCTCTCAATTAAGCAATAGAAACTCAAAGGAACCTTCGGTAAAGACATAAAAGAAGAACTCAGAGCCCACAGCAGCTCGTTAAAGTCGGCTTTTGACCTGATGGTTGTTGGAATAAATAAATCTGAGTAGATAAAGTGGACTTAACATTTTGGATTTTCACCACTATGTCAAACAGCTGAGCTCTTTAATCGTTGTATTCGTATGAATAAGCCAATGTTTTTTACTTTATTTTCTTCTTTTTTTCCCACAGGGATCTACAAAGTCTCTGACTTATACCAAACAGAGAAACACCCTGCCAAGGTAAACCCATCCCCGGCCATTTCTACAGAATGAGTCTAATAAATAACTCCTGTGGCTCTCCAACCTTCTTTAATCTGTGGCCTTCACACTTTCTCCTCGGACTAATGACCTTCCCCCCTTTCTTCTCAGTGGAAGGTTTAGTGTCACGCATGTGATGGAGCAAGTTGATCTAAGCCCTCATGTTACAAGTGGGATCCAGTTTCCTGCTTTCCCTTTCCTCCTCTGTGGTCCATTTTTCATCCCTAATTATTAATCTGGGAGCTTTATTGGACTCCTGTGAAGAAGTCTTGCCAAGAAAACCATCATATTTTTATTCGAGTCATTGAAGTTCATCGGGAAAACTCAATTAGAGGGTAAAAAAAAAGACATTGGTTACATTGGTTTTATGCGATAATTTGTTTACTGGTAAAAATATGTGAAAGACCTGAAATTATGGTCAGGTGGTTTCGGTTAATCAAATGATGATCAAATGAAGAGGGAGTGAGAGAAGGCCATTGTAACTCACAGCAACATTATCATACAAGTTATAAGACGAATTCCCAGGAGTGGAGTGGAAGGGTTTTATTCACCAAACAGATGTGAAGAAGCCATTACAAAGGCCAAAAAGCCTTTCTAAACACAAACGCTGCAAAAATCTGCAATAAGATGAATAAAAGTGGGTAGATTCATGACTTTAAAAAAGCAGAAACAGGTCCAGCCAAAGACTCTTCATTTGAGGAATTCAAAATACATAGTTGGTTCAGTTTGGAAAAAATGGTCCTTGATCATTTCCCTTCTAAAATCTATAACAAAGTTCGTTTTTTTTTTGTCTGATTTCTTTAGAAAATCTAGAATCTTTGCTGTAAATGGTTCAATCCGTCCTGTGTTTGTCTAGGAGCTTCAGCGTGGACCGTGTGATGGAGCGAGTGATGGAGCGCCACTACGACTTCGACCTGACCTACATCACCGAGAGGATCATCTCCGTCTTTTTCCCACCGAAGCTGGAAGAGCAGAGGTACCGGCTCAACCTGAAGGAGGTGGCTGCCATGCTCAAGTCCAAACATCAGGACAAGTTTCTGGTAAGGGAACAGCCCTGCAGCCCAAGGACGTCTCTAAGTTTAAATAACAGGGGGGATTTAGCCCCCTGGATCCAATCAGCCAGTGGAGATTACATAAAACCAGTCAAAAACAACATATCTCTTCTATAAAAACATTGTTATGCTCTTATAAACACCTAACACCTACCTGGGGGATAAAGAGTTATGCTTAAAAAAGAGTTCCTGTTAACACCAAATTAGAGCAGATTTGCTAAATTATAGATACTTTCAACATAATTTGGATCCTAAAATGGACACTTTGAGTTCTCAAAAATCCATATTTAACATTTGTTTTGTCTTTGGTTGTTTTTTTTTGTTTTTTTAACCCCAAATTCCTTTTCATCTGATTACTTCTAAGGTCAAATTTCACAGAATACCAGCACCGTTTTCAGGACCTTTGTCCCTCACCATTCATTATAGATAGGAACCAATGTCTACATTTCTCAGACATGCATTGATATTTTATGATTCTTTATACCAAAGAGCATAAGTGTCGTAATTTTCTGGCAAAATAAACACCTTCAGTTGTTTTTAATTTGACAGAGATTATTAAAAGTGTTTTTATTTGTTCAATGAATATTCATGTCTGCCTGCTCATAAGGGACATGCAGTTTTTTCTTATGTTTCCATGGTAATTCTGGATGGAAAACTGGAAGCAAAATGAACATGAATAGTTTTTTTGGGGAGGTTATGGTCATTTTTGGATGGCTGAAGCCTCTCTTGAAGAGGCTGAATGGTGACCCGGGCCACACCCATTTAACTGAAGATAAGGTCAAACAGATACTCTTTTTTTCAGCTCCTGAATCTGTCCGAAAGACGTCATGATATCAGTCGGCTCAATCCGAAGGTAGAGATTTCCTTTTTGAACTTTTCATCACTTGAACTTAACTTAATTAAAATTGAAAAAGCAGAAGAAAAGATTCCACCGTTTTGTTATCTTGTCACTCTCCTCCGCCAGGTTCATGACTTTGGCTGGCCCGACCTCCACGCCCCACCTCTGGATAAGATCTGCGCCATATGCAAAGCCATGGAGAACTGGCTGAACTCCGACCCCCAGCACGTGGTGGTCTTACACTGCAAGGTCAGAGTTCAGGGGGACTGCGGGGCCTTTTCAGACAGATGTCCCACTTTTTCCCAGGCTCTTAAACAAGCAGATGTTGCAGAGAGCTGAATCAAAGCTAGCCTCCCTGTTCGTTAGGTCACAGATTTGTCATAGCCAGTTTTACCTCTTGCACAGCATGCTGTTCATGCATCAGTTTTGCTTTAAATATGCTCATCTGTATCTTAAAAGCTAAATGGCAGCCATATTAATGGAATGCAGTTCAAATCTCTCAATTTTCCTCAAAAATTCAAATGAGTAAAAGAAGGTGTTTTATTCTTACACTTGCTGTAATCTCCCAAAGCAATCTGACTAAATTAGATCCTAATCCTGAACAAATCTGAGCCACGTCCACCAGGTTTTGGTCATTTTGTGACTGTACACCGATCCCTATATGGGCCATCATTGGCTGGTACTGGTTGTTTTCTTAAACACAATGTTTCCTGGTATATGGAAACTCTAGAGGTACTCACAGAGCTTTGTATTGTGTTGGGAAGCTACTCGTTTTGACACACAGCAATGGAATTGGAGATAGCATCATCGGTGAAGTATAAAAGATGGGGTTTTGCTCTTGAGTTTACACCACCACCTGGTATCCCAACACACCTAAACGTTCCTAGAAAACACTAAGCGTTTATCAGGTTTAAACTTGCTTCAGTCCACTTCTACGACATTCTACACAACCAATGAGTGTGTCGTCATGCTGCAATGGACTTTTGCACAGATCTGACCGGTTGACCTTGCATGAATTGTAAACATAACTGAGTTTTTGTCATCACTTTCAGAGGTATTGTTGGATGAAGCTATATTAGCTAATTGAAGAAGTCAATAAAATGTTTATCATATCTGAAAAGGGCCTTTTCAAGGAATTAGGTATAATTTTTCCATTGCCTTTGGAGTATAACTGAGGTCCCACAACCTGTTTTATTTATTGGTTTTGGTCCGGAGAACAGAATATAGTAAAACCAGACTACTTCAGTGGTCTGCCGACTTTCCAGAACATTCCTGCGACAGGAAATGATTTCCTAGCAGATCTCGCCAAGAAGTAGAATAAGCAAGTTGTTGTCAATGAGAAATCCCCTCTAAGAGACTCATTCTGCTCAAACAAGCTTTAATTTATATGGAAGTGTGTGGAAAGAGACTTTCCTACTGGTATCTGTGGGGTCGCATTAGGAATTTGGAGCTGGAATGTCTTTGGAATGTGTCAGGAAGCATGGAGCCCCCGTCGTGAAGAAAACCTCCACAGGGAGCTTTTTAATTTGAACTCCACGGCTTCTCCACATCGCTCATGTCGCTGCCTTTGTCTCCTCTAGTTTTGATCTTGTCATTTCTGCTGTTGTGGCACCACAGAGGAAACAAATCTGGTCTCCCAAGCTGTGCAAAATGCACAGCGCCTGTGGATGAGATCAGCCCATCATTATTTTCCCCTCTCTGTCCTACAGGGCAACAAGGGTAAAACAGGAGTGATTATTGCAGCCTACATGCACTACAGCAAGATCTCTGCAGGGTGAGTGTGTGATATGGACGTCCAAAGCCACAGCTGACACACATTGTTCATCAGAATACCCACATGTGGAACGCATTCAAAGTCTCCGAGCTAGTGTGCAACATTTTGGATTTAAACTCAGCTATTCAATTACACATGTCGAGGTCTGTTAAAAGCTTATTTCGACAGTTAATCTACTGATGTCCAGGAAAGTTATTCATATACAGACTTTGTTGGTAATTCGTTTGATAAATTAAACCCTCGGGATTCTGCACAGGAACAGTGGAAACTGGTTTATCCTGTGTCCCATGCCAGCTGTATCCTCTCCATGTACTTTCTGGCATCTAGAGAGTCTGGTGTAAAAATCCCATGATGGAAATGGTTGGCTCAAAGAACTTTTGTGTGTGTGTGTGTGTGTGTGTATTTGTGTGTGTTTGTCTATATACAGGGCGGACCAGGCTCTCAGTACTCTTGCCATGAGGAAGTTTTGTGAAGATAAGGTGTCCTCTTCCCTGCAGCCGTCCCAAAACAGGTAGAGATATGGGGTGATCCAAAGGGGAATAAAAGTGGGGTGGTTCATTGCAGCTAAAGCCATTGGACTGATCCTGTTTGAGAGCAAGGAAGGACTTTATTCTATCTATTCTATGTTAACATGGAGGACAATTCAATCATTCTAGTGATTTTACTTTTTTTTTAACCTCTCAGAACAACTTTCTTTCTCACAGTGGTAGTTTCTGCCTTTTTTGATCTTTGTATTTATCTGGTAGCTTTACCACTAACTGTATAATACACATTTTTCTTACTCCCTCTCTGTCTCACAGGTACATATATTACTTTGGAGGCCTTCTCTCTGGGGCAATAAAGATGAACAGCAGCCCTCTCTTCCTCCATCAAGTCCTCATCCCCTCACTCCCCAACTTCCAGGGTGAAGGAGGTACATATATTTGTCGACTTTTCTGCCTTCTTTTCCCTACTTTGTTCATTGCTCTTTATTCAGTTTGATTGACAGCAACAGCAGCCTTAAAAAGCATATTTCTCAGGCATCAGTAAGACAACCTAAACTTATTTCTCCTCTCACATGTCATTCTCAAGCTTTAAATTAGTGATAAGTTAAAGTCAGGAAGACTCCTGTGTCTCATTCCGCTTATTTCTTTTTTTAAGAGGACTGAGATGTACTGTCTGTGTCTAATCTCCAGTCTGGTCTGAACGCAGTCTCCATATGTAGATAAAGCCTATATGGCATGGGATGTTTGTCTTGGCGGGGTCCTCTGACAGGCTCTCCACTGAAATCGCAGCAGTGTTTTTGAATGCAGATGCCATAGACGGTTGCATTCACTCTCTACCCACACACACACACACACACACGCGCCTGTTTATCTTTAATCTGATGATCAAGTCCACAAGGAGGGTATGGCAGTCAGCACATTCCTCCTTCTTCATGCCGATAATGCTCGCTATGTCTGACATTCCCTCTCTTCCTTGCAGGTTATTACCCCTTCCTGAAGATCTACCAGTCCATGCAGCTGGTCTACACCTCAGGCATATAGTGAGTCTGCTTTGCTGCCTCGAGGGGCAGCTGATAGTATAGATAAGATGGGATGTATTTGCTGACTCTGAGGTGTTTTCTTTCATAAACTGAGGTTTTACAGTTATGTAAGAGTTAAGTTTTTTTTTTTTCTTAGGCCTTTACTTTTATCTCCATTGCTGCTTAATTGTTCATTCCACTACACCTTAGAGACATAAAAAGCTTATTTTAATTTGATTTTTGCATATGTTTTCTACTCCCTTTGTATGTTCATTCTCCCTAAAAAGCCTGTTTGTGTGCACTTTGTCATGCATAGTGACCTTCAAGGCACAGGAGGCAGGAGGCTGTGTGTGACCATTGAACCAGCTCTGTTACTAAAGGGTGACATCATGGTGAGTCACAAGGGAAGGAAATGACGAACACAAGACCTCAGATGTGGGTGGGGGGGTCATTATGACTTCAGTTATTATTGGAAAATAAATAAATGCAAACACTGGGTAAAAAAACTTCGGGAATTTGGCTTTAAAAACACAGTTTGGACCTGAAAGCGACTTTTCCCTTTGCTAACTATGGTAATTGTGTGTTTGCATGGTCAGTTGCTACATGAAGTTTAATGCTTACTTCAGTTATGCCCCATCCCACTTTCTGCGCTCTCTGCTGCCCTCTGCAGGTCAAATGCTACCACAGGCGTGCCCAGAGTGCCGACAGAGACACCGTCTTCCGGCTGCAGTTCCACACCTGCACCATCCATGGATCCCAGCTGTGGTTTGGCAAAGGGGAGCTGGATCAAGCTTGCACTGGTGCGTTTATTTATGTGTTGGATATCACTGATCAGTTAAAAATGTCAGAAAATAGATATGAGCACACCGCTTGCAGTCTGCATTGCACTCATATGATGTTCCAAAATGAAAAGGAAAACTTTGTTTTGATATGGTTTTTTAATTTTCCTCGTGCCTTTTTATTTAATTCAGTTAGAAATTTCTTTAGAGCACCTGCAAGTATGCACATACTTCATGTCCAGGAAGTCTGTCGGACTCCTGGGATTCATCCTCTTTATGATCACATGTCCACATAATAGCTTCAGCACAGATTCCCTTTTTCTGTGGTACATTAATGTGTTCTGATCTGTCTCTGTTAACGAAACGCAGATACCTACACTTTTCTCCTATCGCTTGTCATTGCCTTTCACTATATATTAGTAGGAATAAAAATAAAAATAAATCCATCACAGACAGCGGAAGAACATTAGCAAACATTAACCTGGAGAACACAGTAGAAAATGTAGGTGAAGCTAGGTGAAGCTAGCTTCTCCTAATTGCTAGCCAATTTTTGGAAGGTGTAATGTTATTATTTACTGTATAAGATCAGTTTTTCTTATAAGCAGTCAGTTGATGCACAAGAGAGTTTTTTATAGTCCTTTAAATCTCTGCTTTCACTTCTTTAGGTACTTTCACTCTAAATTATCATTCAAGCCCAGTTTGTTAGTCTTATGGTAAGATAATGACCACTTACAACAAGCTGACATAATAGCAGCCCTTTAAACTGGCATTGTGGGAATATATTCTCTGTGGTTTGGCCTCATAATGCCGTGGGTGAATAAATCCTTAAATGGTAGCGGTTTAATCACCATTCTGGATGTAATAACAGCTCCCTAGAGAAGAGAGCCTCAAGGTATTGCAAAGGGAGACTGAATGTTACATGATAGGTGGTTATGCTAAACATATGTCCACAAAGAATATGGTCATTACTTCATTATGTCCTCCGTTCAATTCATCTGCAATGACAGATCATGTGTTTGTTGAAACAGAGTAGCTTTTAATCCATTACAAGACACGAACGGCTCAAAATACACAGGTTTTTGCAGTTTGTGCTGCTGGTAAACAAATCCCTGGAAGGTATCAGCACAAAAGATTTCATTTTGAAACTGAAACTCTGGGAGACTCTTGTAAGACATTCAAGTCCTGTCATGATGTTTGGACATTTTCACATTTCTTTAAGTATTTTTTTCCCTTTCTTCTCCAAAGACGAGCGCTTTCCATCTGATGCCACAGTGGAGTTTGTCTTCTCCTCTGGACCTGAAAGGATCAAAGGTTGGTGTGCACGACTTAGTTTGCTTTTAATTCCAATCAGTGGATAACTGGAGTGACTGTTTTCGGCTAAAAGCAAGGCCATCAATGTCTGGATTTGTGGTCTTAAAAGATTGAACTCCAACATTATTAAATACACACGGCTACAAAAACTGGTGAATAAAGGACTGAGATGGAAATTTAATCTTTCCTCAGGACGGGAATACCAGAAAAATGACCCAGCTGTCACAGTCGACTACAACACAGCTGATCCGGTGGTTCGCTGGGATTCCTATGAGAACTTTAACCAGCGATACCAGGACAGCCTGGAGGGTAAGTGCTGCATCTATACCATCTTAGTAGAGACTAACAGGATTCCAGCTCCAGTAATAAATACTGGAACATCTTAACCCAGGTAGACATCTCAGGGCAATGAGGTACCAGCGAATTGTGGGATACTTAGAGACTGTGAACGTTGTCCATTTGGGGCTGATTTTTCTCTGTTTTTGTCTCAGATATCGCCCACACTAGAGGTCCTCTCGATGGCAGCCTCTACGCTCAGATAAAGAAACGCAGAGGTCCTGGCTCCGGTTCTCTCAGCTCAACCAATGGCAGCGCCCCAATCGGAGGCCTCACAGAAGATCGGCCCAATCATCTCGTCACTCAGGGCTCCGACTCTGCCCTCTCCACCCTCCATTTGCACCAGTCGTCCAGCCACCCCGAGCACCAGGAGGAGCCCATTCGCCCGCCTCCCCCAACCAGGCAGGAAAGGGAGGAGCTGGAACGTCTTCTCGGAGGCATCGAGGGAAACCGCGATGGAGAGCGGGAAACCGCCATCTTGGACGACGGCGATTCCCTGCCGTCCGAGCGGTCGGGGACGCTGGGGCTGAGCCGCTCCTGCTCCTGCCGGGACGGCTACCGCTCCCAGCGCTGCGCCGAGCCGGGCTGCGACCGCACCCTCCTCATGCCCAACGGCTACTGCCTGGACCGGGCGCCCGGCACCAACGGCCACCACGGCGCCACGCCCTCTGCCAGCCCCAACTCCGGCCCCCCCCCGTCGCACATGGATCTGTGCCAACACTACAGCCCCCACTCCCACCAGTCCCTCCCGCCACCGGATCTGGTCTGGGACCGTCAGAACGGCCCCCCCCTCTACCTTCACCGCTCCTGCTCGGAGGCGCCCCCGTCCCGCCGCGTTTGCTCCTACCAGCCCCCCGACCTGACCCCGCACCCCCACAGCCACCCGCACCACCACCCCGTGTCTCCCCCCAATCGCCTCTGTTGCCGGGAGGATGACTACGCGCCCTACCACCGCGCTCCGCCGCCGCACAGCCACCACCTCGGCCATCCACATCACCCCAAGCCCTCCACCAGCCCCACCTACCACGACATCATGCTGCTGGACGGCCTGCCGCCCCCCGGCTGCCCCTGCCGGGACTGCAGCATCAGGAGGGAGGACTCGGCGGGTTATCACACCCTGAGACTGGACCGCGGGGACAGCTTCCACTGGGACAGAGAGGCGGAGCTCCAACAGCGAGAAGCGGGGCTCCGCAGAGGCAGGGAGGCCGAGCTACCTAGGGGGCCCGAGCTCCACTGGGAGAGGGATCCCGGGCTGAGGCGAGGCAGGGAGCTGTCCCTCCACTGGGAGCGAGACCGGGAGGCGGAGCTGCAGTGGGAGCGGGACCGGGAGGCCGAGTACTGGCACCGGCGGGCCACCGTGGCCTCCTACGCCCCGCAGGGCCACGATCTGCCAGCCTTCACCTTCGACCCGCTTCCCGCCGGTCACCCGGCGTATCCCGAAGCATCCAGGTCCCACGCCCACTCCCACCTGGACCTGAAGTACAGCAGCAGCAGCAGCGGGTACCAGACGCCGCGGCAGGTGTGCCCCTGCTCGCCCTACCAGCCCTCGCCCTCCGAGAGCAGGGGCTACGCCTCGGGCTACCAGTCCGAGTCCACGTCCCCGCTGCCCCCCGCCTCCTCCATGACGGGGCCCTGCAGCCATAGCAACGGGCCAGCAGACCAGAACCACCATCACCCGGACCCTCAGCCGTCTTACAGCTCCGACTCGCATACCGGTGGGTAGCATCCCACTCTCAGGAATATTCACTTAATGGGCATGTTTAGGGAATAAATCACGCATGCTTACATAACAGTCGTCTCAGGTCATGTGACCCCGGCTTTTTCTAAAGGAGTCCCACTGCTCTCTGCTCGCAGATGGTCTCCGTAGCTCTGGCGAGAGCGTTGGCTGGAGGGATCACATTACCCACGGGTCCTTTAAGAGGGTCCACCGGGATGGTCATGCTGCCTGCTCCACGCCGTCCGACATGTCTGGACCGCCCACTCCCGTGCGCACCAGCAGCCCACTGCGCACACAGGAGAGGTACACCACGTCTCGCCTTCTACTCTGAGGGTTAAAAGTAGCTTGTTCTGTGCTGAACAAACCCCAGGATGGCACTTATCGGAGGTAGAGGTGGTGACTGAGTTACAGGACATACCCTAACTTACTCTTAACTTTCACTTTGTGAACTTTAAACTAACTTAGCTTATTTATTTTGATTTAATTCTCATATTTTATATGTTTTTTTTCTATGACTTATATTAGCATAACTTTAAAAATTAAGCAGTACTTAATAATTACTCAATAATGACCTAATCATTTGTTGTAGGTACAATAGATGTGTTCCCCATGTGTGAGCGCTTTATGTCACCTCACAGATTCAGGTGCGGGGGTCCCGGGGTGTCCCCCCTGTGACAGGCCATAATAGAAAGATAGACGCATAACTGTGGAAAAAGTGAGGGAAAAGAACACCTGCATCCCCCACAGGTGTGACGCCCACGCAGGTGGCCCAATAAACGTAAAAAATGGGGCCAGAGGGGGTTAGAGTAGGGAAACGGCTGGAGCACATACAGAGCAGAACGGGAGAAACTGATCACATATAAACAGGTTAAGAAAATAATACATACACAATATATACACATTTTTATGGTATTCAGAGAAAAGTAAACGGGTGCACAGGAGGGTCGTTTAGTGGGATAAAGGAGGGTGGACATAGCTTAAAAAGACTAACCCGGGGGGGTGTCTCACCCGCATGTTTGGCCTGGACCTTTACGTGGGCTGAACGAAAGCACCCTGCTTGGATTTTTCTGACTCTCTGCTCCTTTTTCACCATCGTTTATCCCAGTATATTTAAAATGAGCTTTACAAACAGTTTTCACGCGACCATGAAATCTGATTTTTCATAATTTTACTCTGTATGGATTGACACATGGTGCGCAGTCGGTGGCTGTTTTTCTGTCTCTCATAGTCCTGATAACCGCGTCTGTCCTTTAAAGCCCCAGCCCGGGAGGACGGGAGTACGAAATCCGGACCACCGACATCATCGGCAGTGACTGCGAGGGGCCGCCGCCACTGGAAGCACGCCACCGTGTCCCGGCCTCGAAAAGCGGCACAGACCAGGCACTCTGCAAAGAGACCCCGCCT